CAAATGGTAATATGTTCTCCTATATACTTCATTATATAAAACTATATCATTATTTAGTTGATACAGCAACACAATTTATCACGCGTTTCTGCTTGGGAAAATGTAGATTCAGTGTCACTCTTCTCAATATTTCCATTGTTATCAGAAGAAGAGATTGGAGACATCACTTTAGGTAACACATTAACAAGCAATCCTCCTATTCAAGAAAATTTTATATACCATATGACTATTTTAGGAGTGTTTCAGTTAAAGCGTGCAAGATTGTATGCCGAAGAGCACTGTTCTTCGATAAAATTAACCGAGTTTGTATCCTATCTTGTTCAAAAGTGTAAAACAATCCCTAATATTATACGGGTGTCCACGCAGTCTGCAAATATCAGACGGAAGTCCTATCACCCTGTCATACAATTCACACAAGACGAAATAATGGGCTGGTATTGCGATTGTCCAACTGGAAGCCGTATTATAGGTTGCTGTAGCCATGTGGCTTCTGCGGTTTGGTTTTTAAGTTACGAACGCTGGCAGACCAAAGAACGTAACATGCTCTCGGGTGATTTTGTTAGATTAGCTACTGACAGCATTCAGATGTCAGACTTTTATGACTCGACGGATGATGAAGACGAGAATTGCTACTCCTTAACATAATTTTTTCCTACTTCTATACATACGTATGAGTCTGTTTTGATTTATAAAAAATAAAAGCATTATATCTAATTCAGTGATTTCTTCAAACGTGTTCACAAACAACAATTCAAACAATAAATATATCTCTTTCGTAACAAAACTTTTCATGTATATATCTCGCAGTAGTAGACTACATTTCTACAGCAAAAAGCATTAAAGAAGAAAAATAATATCTTCTATTGTTCTCTATCACTCCCTGACATTTTATTTCTCGATAGAAATACTTTCTCCTTCTCTGTGTGAATAACTCTGAAACCATTTTAAAAGTTCGGGATTACCAAAGCAGCATCGTGAATCTATTCTATCATGACTCTATATAAAACTTGAACCAACCTACTATGAGAACGGTTGCTGTTTGCTAGGACCATATTAGCCAGTGATGAGATCTAACACGAACCATTCACTGGGGCCTGTCATAGGAAACAAAATAGATACCTTGCTTCTTCTATTTTTTTCCGTGCTAAATCTTAACTTCGTTCCTTTTGCGCTCAGTAATATGCCGTGTCATCCAAACATTTATCGGCGGATTGAATCAATAGCGGATGAAAACGTCCTACCACATACGAGATCAACAAGAATTAACTGGACAAAAACAAGCAAGAAACAACATGTATCAACTGACAATCAAGCATTTAAATTGTATAACTATGTATATCTTTATGCTACAACTTAATTTGTCTCGTCTTTCGCACATATTTTATTTCTCAATCGAACCAAATATAATGCGAAAATGATTTATACATTTACTCGATAAAGTTTGCTTCACGTGATTAATAAAATTACTTATTATCTGACTTAATTTACTTAAAACTATGGAAGAAAATTTATAGGCCACCGGTAAGGAAAATTTTAACAAAATAAACATCAAGTTTTTCGGAAAGAGGATAACTTTCTTGCGAGAAAGCATCAATTTTTTCCGAAGAAAAAGTGAAGTTCCTGTGAAGAAAAGTCAGGTTTTCGCGGGAAAAAGCTGAAGTTCTTGCGAAGCAACATTAAGTTTTTCAGAAAAAGAGGTGAAGCTCTTATGAAGAACCATCAATTAAAACCACGTTTCCTTATGAAGTTGCTGTGAAGAAAAATCTGGATCTTATGGGGAAAAGGTGAAGTTCTTGTCAGAAAACATCAAGCTTTTGCGGAAAAAAGACGAAGTTCTGTGGAAACGTGCAATTTTTCAGAAACATGAGGTTTTTGAGAAAAACACATGACTTTCTTGCGAAGAAATATCAAGTTTTCGCGGTAGAACGACGAAGTTCTTGCGATGCAACACTAAGTTTTTCAGAAAATAAGGTGGAGTTCTTTCGAAGAAATAACAAAGTATTTCGGCACAAAGTTGAAGTTTTTGTAAACAAAAACCAGGTTTTCTTATGAAGTTGTTCTGAAGAAAAATCTGGATCTTATGTAGGAGGAAGAAGTCAAGAACTTTTCAAGTCAAGCAGAAACAGATACAAACTGGTGCCAAACGTTTCTCTTAAAAATGAGTTTTGGATATAGATAAGGAAGTTTTTCTACAACCTTGTGTTTTCATATGTACTTGAACAGGACCGTTCGCATTAGGAGCATTTTTCCTCTTTTTCGTTCAGATTAGGAACTGGGCCCATAATGTGAACGATTGAAACACTGCTCACATTCCCGATCATAACTCACTCAATTAAGTCCGATTTCAAAAATACGTTTACCATTCGATTCAGAGGACCTTGCTCTACTCAAAAATATAAAAAGATCCATTAAACTCTCAGTTAATCACGGTAAAATAAAGAAACAACTGCATGATGCGTTTTTTCCGTTCAAATTAGCAACTGTTATTTTGCTAGTATACATGTATCTATACCGTAGATATAGAAAGACAACAAGGCACTGGGCATTTTTCTATATAGCAGGCGGACATATGCTGTAGGAGTGCTATGAAAGCCTATAAACACGTTCTTCTATAAGTTTTCGACTATACTCTTTCTAATGAGGAGATTTTTAGTACCCAAAATTAATTTCTTTGGGGGATTTTTGGAGACCGGATCTCTGGAAAACCCATAAAAAATATTTTTGCATTTCGAGAACCTCACTATTCGAAAGATCATATTCGAAAACCTATAAAAAATGTGTTTATAGACTTGCGTACTATTACTAAAATAAACATCCAAATTCCTAAGCAAAATCTGCTGCGGACAAGCTTTCAAGTCTATAATTCAATTTGATCGAAAATATTTCTGCAGAAAAATTAGAAAGCTATACATCATTCGATGCAGTTTTTCACACTGATTCCGAATATGGTATTATATTTGAAGGGAAGTGCATTTATAAGCGAGAAAACCATGAAATACCCCGAAAACCGTATGGGTTTTAGAAAATTGATATTTCGACTTTGACGAAAAGTCGCGTAAAGTCCCATGCAGTATAAGTAGAGTAGATACTGGAGAATATTTTAATATAATTACAAGGTCGATTTGACTGTAGCGTTTTTTAGCGATTTCATTATACTGAGTTGATCTCATCCCGAACTGGCTCTAAACAAATTTTTAAAATCGGACTTAATTGAGTGAGTTATGATTGGGAATGTGAGCAGTGTTTCAATCGTTCACATTATGGGCCCAGTTCCTAATTTGAACGAAAAGAGGAAAAATGCTCCTAATGCGAACGGTCCTGTTCAAGTACATATGAAAACAGAAGGTTGTAGAAAAATCTCATCCCCAACTGGCTCTAAACAAATTCCATACAACGTTCTTTATAGGATTCTGTTTTGAAGTATACATATTTTGATATCAGTAGATAGCTGAGGATCTGCAGATTCCGAGTATGTGCTTTTGAATCGTTTAACATAGCTAAGCGAACAAATAATCAAGATTTTATGCGTATGTGTCACTTTCCGTGATATCTGTTATGCACCTCTTGTGGCCTGGTTTCTCCTCGAAAGATTGGATATCAAAATAGACATTTATACACCATTCGACAGAGAATTTCAAGCGCTATATTTTGCACTATTTATATTTGAAAAACGAGAAATCTCGATCTTTATGCGACTAATGCACAACTAAAAAAAGAGAAAAACAATAAGGAAGGACCGACGATAATAAAAACGTTAACGTTAGGAGAAAACATAACCATAGAAATATATACTTTAGGGTTTCTGTTTTACATGCTTTCCTTTTCGATTTTTAAAGTAACCTGAAATATCAATAATAAATCAAAATAATAGCACTGTGATTTCTATTAATCATGTTTGCAGCAGTTTTGTATTTCTTACTACGTTTTCTACTTGGTTTTACATTTTCACTTGCTAATTAAAAAGTGTTTGAGATCACTTAAATTTCAAATTTATCTAATTATGTGCGCAGTAACTATTACTAGTTACCTATTACCGTTACCGACGGTAAGTTAATCAATAGGTTGGTTTCTCCCCATATTCAAGAGAAGCATTTCAGTACTTTGAAAGTGAGAGAAAAACACGTAAATCAAGAACAAAAGATAAAGTATATATTTCTATGGTTATCTTTTAACGTTTTATTATTGCCGTATGTTTTTATGAGTTTTGAGAATTTTTTCTTTGTTGTTTCTTTGAAAACACCAGAGTATATTGAGCCTGAGTGGTATGTTTTATTTGTTTATTGTATTATGGGAAGGGTTAATTAAAATTTATTATTTTCGCAGATGCTGGTATTTCGATTATAGTGCGAACACGACTGTGTTTACTGAGTGGATCCCCCAAACTTCATCATTATAGATCATATTATATATATGAGTGAATTGCATAACCATTGTACTGTTTGAGAAAAAGAATGCGATAATAAAAAAGGTTGAAATAAACAAAATCGGAGTCGGACGTTTGATAAAGCTATATCGATTGTGTATAAACATAATATTTTTCCGGTACTTTAGAGTTTGAGAAAGCTACGATACAATGATTTTGAAGAACTACCCAATCCGTAGCGCTAGGTATAACCAACCTATTGATTAACTTACCGACGGTAGATTACCGTCCGTAAAAATAGGTTTTCTTGTTTGCTCGTCCAACGCTTCTGATATGGTCTAGGAACTGACAAAGTTCCTCAACAAGGTTGCTGCGGTGTCTTTTCAATAAAAAGGTTTATATTCTTTGTCATACAAATACAGATTCATTTCAAAAAAGAGTGAGACATATGTAACACAAAATAGAATTTCATTGCTGGAAAAAAAGGTTAATCAAATTTTTAAAACTTTTATTGTTGATGGAAGACAACTACAGCAAGAAAACAGAAAACGTCAAATGATGCTCTAATCATACAACCGATGCTTTGTTGTATTGCTATTGATGCATTAGTGACTGTGGGTAATGTTGTTCCACTTTGAAGTGTGGTGGTGCTGGGAGTAGTACTCATGCTACCGGTAGAGTTTGTAATTCTTGAAGCTTAATAATCGAAATTTAAACTTTCATGCACTGCGTTGAGCTTTTTGCTTATAGACTTACTTGTGATTATTGTACCAATGATTGTACTTGCTGCTGTTGTCGGTGTTGTGACATTTGGAAACAGCGTGTAATCATAATACCATGAATTCAAAACAGTATACGATATAGATTTAGCAAAGCCAACTTGATTCGTTTGAATATTGTAGATTGAATAATAACGTACAAGAAAATAATCACCTAAACTTCTATCTATGCATTATTAGAAGAAAGAAGAAGAATACACTTACCTAAAATCCACATTGGATTTCCGTTAAGATCTGTAAATGATCCGTTTATAAATACAAGTCCACATGTCCAGGCACTAGTTTGACCCCATACTACGACATATTGTAAGACATTCAGTGTAAATGTTTGACCACTAATTGTAAATGTTACATTTGGATAGTATGAGGTACTTCTGTTCATACAAGGTATTGTCCACTATAGAGAAAATGAGCCCCAGTTGCTCACTATTAGAAAAATAAAGCCACTTACATATCCACTCGATTGATCGTACGTACCACCCAGGTATGTATTTAATGCTTGAACTTGTGCATTTGGACCAACGATCAATGTAGTACCCGTATCCGCAATGGCGGAACAGTTAACATTGCTAGTGCAAAACGTTTGTCCACCGACCGAAATACTGTAGAGAAGTGCTTCGTCAAAATAGAGAGTAATTCTTGTAGAAAGACATGTCTTACCTATCCATTTTAAATTCCCAATAGCCTTGGAGAGAGACATTGACATACGTGATTGAACCCTGATATTTTCCTGCATCAATTCCACCCACAATTAACTCACCACCTGAGCTTATTATCCTATAAAACATACATTTTAATCTAGTCATTAGCTTGGCTCTTTTCATTGGCAAACTATAAAACTTACGGATTAAAGTAAAATGAGAAGAGTGGCTGAGATATTAAGTTCTGCGCCCACATGTTATAGAAGACAGGTGCTTCACCATTGCTTATTCGTGGATATGCCAACCCTAATAGTCCATCACGTATGTCATTTACAAAACCCGATTCATTGGTAGCTTCCGCAAACACCTGATTTTGAGCTTGTACTCCACCAAACTAAATGTGATTCTATCATATAGAAACAGAGGAGATCAATTACATACGTACACACTTACTGTGACTGTATCATTATCGAAATGCCCCACGGCATACGATCCATCGCCATAGGTAATCAAAAATGGAGATCCATTTGCTCGATAGGTACTTGACTGGACACTGTTATATTTATTCTTATTTGCTATACGAATGGAACACAACGCAGAAGCAAAGTGTATCCGATAATGTGCAACGTGTATATACTTACTACAAGATGATACTGTACATAGAATACTCGGCACCCAAAGATCGCTGGAACCTGTATCGAAATCAATCGTAAAATTTTGTGGTGGCGTACCAATGCTAATAGTACCAGTCCAAAAATCCTAATTGAAACGAACAAGACATGGCTTCGTTCTAAATCCTGTGCTACCGTCTTACATTCTGTTGGTTAGTTATACTCTGGTTACCAACTAGTGTTTTTGATGTTTTTACTAGTTCATTAACAGAGTGACGCGTAACTAGTATACTATAGAACCGCGAAAAGAAAATAAAGCGTACGAGGTATAGTTACAGTGAGCTTATACCTGATCACTTGTAGTGTTGTATCAATTATCAATGTCAATGAACACAGATAAATGGTGAAAATGATGAGCAAAGTCATTTTAATGGCATTCACTAACACACACACACACTGACAAAAGTACACCTATAAATATTTTTGGACGTTTCTAATATTTTCAAAGGAATGACATATACAAACAAAATTTTATTCTTAAGAATATCCGTTTAAATGAATATGACATATTCAAACGAAAAATGTTCCAGTGCACTTTGATTATTTTATCTGAAGATCAAAATCGAAATACCTGCATCTGCTAAAAGAATGAATTAAACAGAAAAAGTATGTAAAACAGAAACCCTAAAGTATATGTTTCTATGGTTGTCTTTTCTCCTAATGTAAACGTTTTTATTATTGCCGTATGTTTTTATGAGTTTTGAGAATTTTTCTTTGTTGATGCTTTGAAAACATTGAATATATTGAGCCTGAGTGGTATGTTTTATGCGAAGGGTTAATTAAGATTCATTCTTTTTGCAGGTGCTAGTATTTCGATTATAGTGTGAACACGACTGTGTTCACTGAGTGGATCCCAGAGTGGATTCCACCCAAATTCCGCACATAACTACATAAATTTGAAATGTGCGTGATCTCATTTGTTCAGATCTTATATAGAGTCATGATAGAATGGACTTACGATGCTGCTGAACTATCATGAGAGTCTATCCATTATTTTCTAAAGAAAAGTGGTTTAGAATGGTCCAGTACGTTATGCGTCGAACTGATCTCACTGATGTAACCGTGGTTTTTACTCGACGATCCCCGTGTTGAAATTTCACGCTTTCCTACAGTACAGTACCAGTTCACCTTCCAGCTTTAAAGAAAGTCATCTTTTTGATCTTTCTTCCTTCTTTGCGTATATAGAGGTGAACACAGAAAGTTGAGTGGATAAATGATCACATATTCACTTTTGCATTCTGTTTCCTTCTCAGATGGGTTGATGGCGGAACGCTCTTTTTTTGCATAGAGTCACATGCCCTAATTTCGACACTTAATTTTTTAGGTTTCGTATTTTGTGTTTTTCTCAGTTACTTATTAACATAGAGTAAAGCTTTTTATATAGTCACCGTAGCTGACATTTAGGTCTGACGATCTATGGTTCAACACGTCACGTGTTGTTTCTTCGAATGAATTGTTTCAGCGAATCAAAGCATATGTATCGTTTTGAAAAGAGCACATGTTTTCATGCTTTTCTCCAGCGAACAATTAGACATCGTTTATCTAGGAGATTCAGGGCTCCAGGATAATCAGGGATAAACATGTCTGCAGGATAGATCTTAACTCTGCGTTTTCTCTTGCAGTTTGTCTACAAACTAATTGAACTATTTTTTAACGTAATTTTAGCGCATATTCCACATTTTCTTTGCTTAAATTAATCTAAGAACTGAAAGTTTACAAACTGGATAATTTATGAGACACTGCCCGAGAGATACACCCGTTTAGCGTTCCTCAGTCGAAGTCTGAGTTTTCGGCTGAAAAACTGATAAGTACTCATTTGATATACGACAGTTTCATCGTACATAAATTTTGAAAATTAGATTTTCGGAGGACAGTCTTCGAACTGTATATGAATTCTTCAAAAATCGACTTGCACGCATCGATAGTAGTAGTAGTACAGTAGGTCGATAGAGTGCAATGGCATAAGAACCCTAACATTTGGAACGCTTTCGGACGAGAAAATCAACCTCCAAAGTCGGGCGTTTTTCATTTTCTACTCATTTTTGAGCTCATCCGTACATCAGCCAAGAAATTTGTACGAATTCAGTTCACAATTTATAGTTGAGGTATACTTGTACAATATATATAAGTCATATTCAATACAATAACATCACTTTTAGGTAGAAAAACTGTATGTGAAAGTCTTTGTCTAAGCAAAATTTCACCATATTGTATGAATAACTGATGTATATTATTTTTCATTAAATCGTTTGGAACGAACTTCTGATTGAAAATTGATTTAAATTAATTTCGATCAACAAATTCATGTAGATTGGTTTAAAGAAAAATAATGTACGTTTATTTTGTATTGAAAATTAGTTTAAATTAATTCATAGACTGAAAGGAGGGAAGCAGATAAGGCGGTTTTGTGGCCTCAATTTTTTTCGAATAAAAATTACATGGTTGAAATCAGCAACAAATTCTGAACATAACTGTCGCTTCAGATTTTCAAAAAACTGACTTTCATTTTTTCCAAAAGTTTTAGGCTGAGGTCTCCTTTTGAAATATCCAAAAACATTTTTCTCGAAAGTGGTTACATGACATATCACTAGACGCAGAATTTAACACTAATAACGAATATGAGGTTAAACTCTGAAAAAAGCTTGTCTATAACCGAGAAAACCGCCATCTATCGAAAATTGGCCAAAATGACTCACCTTCGTTTATTCCAGATTAGATGCTCAGGCAGGCGACAACAAACCCCGAACACACAAGACCTTCCAGGCTCAAAAAAATAGCCAAAAAACGGGTTTTTGAAAAATTGTTTGTTCACTGTCCTTCTAAGGATTGCCTGTGACACTACCGTATTCAGACGTATTCAGTTTTTGACGAGGAATCGAATACGCATAGTTTGAGAGTCGAAAAAATGTGCGTTTTTGAAAAATTCGATCTATTTATGGCTTTCAGACCGCTGTACTTTCGCCAAAATTACATAAGCATGTTCCATTTTTGACGCTCTTTCGAGTGTCAAAATCAGACTCAAAAAGTTGAATTTTATTTGGAAAACCTCTCTTTTTCTAACGCATTAGAAGGAAAAGCTATAAATAGCTATTTTCGGCCTACTGTTTTGTGGCTTTGTTTAAGAGCATATTGACTTTTTCCTTAAGCTCTCCACGCAGCTAGTACTGGGTAGGGCCCTTCGTCGCAAGTTCAGGTTTCTGCACTTATCCTTTTCACCGCGGAGAGGTCGCCCTAACCGAGAAGGTAAAGTTTGTTTTTTGGTGAAGACATTTTCGTTCGGTTGATGGTAACAAGCAATTGTCACGCCAATAGACGACTAACGATGGCGTTAGTTTGCTTGAAGTTCAATCAAAAAATGCAACAACACACTCCTACACTCTACAACCTACAATCTCACTTGATGGACATCTTGCTGGTCCGATGTATTTATGTCTTCAAGAGATAAACGGAAGAATGGGTGAAATCGTCAAAAAGAATCTATTTGAACCAAGTAATGTTGTGAGTACTTGTTCTTTGTCAGGCAAACTAACGTCATTGTTAGTCGTCTATTGGCATGACAATTGTCTGTTACCATCCATCGGACGAAAATGTGCTTGAACATCTAATCTGGGATAAACGAAGGTGAGTCATTTTGGCCAATTTTCGATAGATGGCGGTTTTCTCGGTCATGGACAAGCTATTTTCAGAGTTTGACCTCGATTAATCCTCGATTGAGCTTGATTAATTAATTTCAAATCCAAGCTTAACCTGAACAAATTTTATGCCCAAAATTAATGTAAAGAATTACAAAAAAAAGTTAATGCAAATTAATTAATAGTTCTTTTTTGAAAAAAATATTGAAATCTTCATCAAGTAGTTTGAACTAACTTAGTCTCAAATCAGTTTAAATTAATTTTTAACCAAAAGTTAATGTAAACTGATTCTCATGTAAACAGATTTAAATTGGTCTGAATCCAAATTAGTTCTAACGAATTTTTAATTTAAAATTAGTTTGAATTAATGCTTTTCCAAGCCATTTTAAACCAATCTAAAGTTACAAATTCACAAGATTAACTACGATAAGCCTGAAAAAATTAATGTAGATTAATTTTAAACCGAAAATTGTTTTGAACTGATTTCTTTCGGATTAGTGAAAATCAAATTATTACTAAATTGAGTTAAAGCAATTTGGAAAAGCATTAATTCAAATTAGTGTAGAGTTTTCGATTTAATTTAAGCTAATTCGGCATGCGAAATTCGTGTGAATTAACTTAATATGAAAATTTCTGTAATGCAGTCACGAGGGAAATTAGTTTTTTCATGAAAAACTGAATTCAAATTAATTTTAGCTTTTTTTCGTTTTTTCAATTAAAGTGCATTAATTTGAATTAAATTTTATGATCTTTTTATATTTATTCAAAGATTTACATTGATGTGCATTAATTTTGAATTCAAAAAGGTTTTTGAAATTAATGCGAACGACTTTCCTTTTAGATTTGTTCAAATTTCTCTAAATCTCGAAATTAGTTTTCATTAATTCGAAAGTATTTAAAAGTTCCAATAGGCGGTGATAAAAAAAAGAAAAGATTAATCTGCCAATAAGATCCGATTGTTCCGATTGAGATGTTTGTCTGATACGCGAGATTTCTATATTTATCGTTGAGACATGTGTAATAAACTTGTGAATTTCATTCTATATTTAATAGATACAAGATTTTGTCTAGTTTGTAGTGAGATATTTGAATTAAAATATACTGACTTGGTGTCTTTGAGTCATTCAGAACAAAAAATAGCAAAAAGAATGAAATACCGGTTGGCCCAGAATAAATGGCAGTCTCAGTATTTTACTTATAAATAACGTGAATCACATCGATTCACTCGGTCCATCGACTGTAAGTGGAATGAATATCGTGTCGAGAATATTCTTCATTTTATTGTAACTGGATCTTGTTACTACAGAATTGAGCAGAGATGTA